GTAAGTCTATAACTGTACCTCATGGTGTTTCACTAATAAAAAAAAGAAAAAAACATTTGACCTGGAACTGGAGAGAACAGCTCCTCAGATGGCCTATTCAGAGTCACGCCCTGAACTGGCAACATTTTTAGGATGAAAAGTAACAGCACTCACAGACACAGCTAACTGGATTCTAGATTTGAGGTTTTCAACCTTGTACCCGAGTTCATCTGCAGCTTTTCAAGCTGGTGTGCAAAAAACAGTTATTGACAGTTCGTATGTCATATGCCTGGATCATGTAAGAGTCCTATTATAAACATTGGTGTGTAAATATTCTTATAATAAATAGCATTTTTATTTCTGCCTTTGTGGTCTTCAGTATATTTCTCTAGTTTTCACTAGTTTTCTGGGTCAAAGAGTAGAAAGCCACTCTTCATGAGAACTGATTTATATCCAGGCTGTATCTTTAAATTACCATGCTGGATAGAAATATTCTGAGAATAATTTTCCAGAGAACACAGAGTTAGGCTATTGTAGTACCTGGATTTAAATCCAGATTGGTTAGACCACTAATATCCTCTTCTAGAGAATTAAAGATTGTTGAGTCTAATATTTGGGGGAGAATATTGACTCACACCCAGTGGTTCTGAGGGTTCACTCTCAGAAATATTCAGGAAACGATGTGGTGTCAGGGATTGAACTAGGCTTGGTTGCATGCAAGACAAGTGCCTTAATCTCTCTACTATTTGCCTGGCCCCTGGATCTAAGTTTTATAATTTATACTACTCTGTATCCACTATTTCTTTCCCAACTATGAAAGACCCCTCTTTTGCCTTTTTTCTCACTGATCTCTTAATTCCCAATATGTCCACCTAAAGGAGATTGTCAAGTACTTGACCTGTAGATTGAATGAGCCTAATTTATTGAGCATGAACTATGAGTAAGAGGTGGGGTATGGAATCCTTATAAACACAGCGATTTCATGTGACCAAACTCACTATACAGCTAATAGAACTGTGAAGAACTTTGGAGATAAAAGGCTATTAAGAGACCCCAGGGCTGAATGGAAGAAATTTAACTCTATAGCCCTTAATTTAACTAAATCATTCTGTTCTAAATGTTCTTCTCAGTTGACTAGAAATAAAAAAGAGAGAAGTCTTCAGAAATAGAAAAGTCATCCTTGGAAGCATCCTTGGAGGCCAGTTAGTTACCTTTCGTAGAAGAGGGGTTCATGGGGATGAAGTGAGAGAACCTTAAAATTGATGATGCCAAACTCTTCATCAAGAAAGAGCTGAGAACTGTGACGCACAGGGAGTGACTTGTCCTCAGCCTTACAAGTTGTCACGCAATTGCCATCAATTAGAATGTGGCCTATTAAACACACATCAAACATACACAAGAAAATTTAGCCCTCAAGGCAAAGAGCCATGTGTGGGTTTCATCTGTTGCCGAGCTGATGAAGCTGATGGGTGGGGAACATGCCAACACACTGTCCAAACATATGCCAGTGTGTGCGAATCACTCATGCTCTAGGAAAGGCTCCTGGGTTCAGAGCAAATGCATGAAGTGGCACAGCAGATGTCCAGGGATGAAAAGATGGGCATCTCATGCCCACAAGCTGTATACAATCCCATCCAGAACAAAATAACAACGTTCTGGAAGGACAGGTGTCTTCCCAGATGTCTGAAGGGGGATGGAGACTCGCCTTTGTAGCAGTGGGGGGCTGATCTCATTGCTTCAAAGGGACCAGATGTGACTCTACTGCATCTTGTATGGGTCTGTATATTTGCTGGATGTGTGTCCATAACAAATGTGGTCTTTTTCTGAGATGGCAAGTTGGAGGTGGTAACCTAGAGAACAGGGACCATGTGTCTTGCCAGCTTTGCTTGATTACTATCATGGAGTGACTTTCAATCAGAAAGCTGGGCTGGGGTGCACAGTTCCCGATGGCTGCAGCTCTTGAGACTGATGATTTCCTGATGAGTGATTGGAGGTTGGCTAAGCAGAGGGGACACATGATGCCCAAACAACATCCTCATGATCCCCCTCTGCGAGAAATTGGTGCCCAAGAGTCACTGGAGGTTGGCCATGTGGTGATGGTGGGGGAACAAAATCACCTTAAAAACTGGTCCTCATTAAAGGCTAAAACCATTCTGAGAATGGGGGTAGCAACTTGTTCTGAGGGAATGTTGAGAATTCTCATTCCTTGAAGAAGGACACAATTAAAATGGGTTTTGTTTTTATTTTTAAATTTTTGTGGGGTTTTTGTTTGTTTGTTTACTTGTTTTTTTTCTTTTTGGGTCACACCCGGTGCTCAGGGTACCATATGGGATGCTGGGACTCAAACCTGGGTTGGCTGTGTGCAAGGCAAATTCCCTATCCACTGTGCTATCGCTCCAGCCCCAGTTTTTGTTTTCTGAAGGAGATAAAAGGTTAGCTTTCTCTAGGAACTTTTTGACAGCTATGGACCCCAGTAAAAGCACTGACTCTGGGGTAGTTTTTCATGAAAAAAGGAATTGATCATATCTGCTGTAATGGTTCAGATCCACTCAAGGAATCTTGGATACAGTGACCTTAAAACAGCTTAAGGGGATTCTGGGCTCTTGGTTGACTTTGATTTTTGACTTGAATGCCCGTGACTTTAGTCAGGATATTGCTCTGGGTCTTACCATCTCCATCTCCATCTCCATATGTAGAACAACTTGTGTCAGGAGGATTTTTAATAAGACCTAGCCTGTCTTTTCCTTATCATAAAAGATATCCACACCCAAGAGAAATTGTTTCCTTAAACAAAATAACAGCAGACCATCTTATCACCAATGATGGTAGCAGCCTTCTTCTGAGACATACAAGACAAACATCTTTTCTCGTGAAGATTTCTTTGCTTCAAAATTTCTGACCTTGACATTTGCACCATAAAGAGAACACCCAGGGGGATGGAGTGATAGCACTGCAGGTAGGATGCTTGCCTTGCATGGGGCCAACCCAGTTAGTTTCCCAGCATCCCATATGATCCCCCAAGCACCACCAGGAGAGATTCCTGAGTGCAGACTCAGGAGTAATCCCTGAGCATTGTTTGGTGTGACCCAAAAAGGAATAAAAAAAGAAGACAACACCCAGGCATGGGTAGCTTATTTTACTTGCCCCAACTTAAAAAAAAATCAAAGCAAAGAAGACGAAAGCAACTTCATACGTATTTTTCTTCCACAATCTCATGCATCCATTAAAAGGGGGAAGAGGTATTAGAGAAGCTAGTTTTAAAACAGAGTGTGTGCACTCTAAAATTGTTGCGTTTGGGTCATCACTCCCAGTGTGATTGTATTAGAAGGTAAGGCCTTTGGGAGGTAGTTGGGTTTAGATGAGGTCATAAAGTAAGGTCACTTGAGAGAGATTAGTACCTTTATGTAAGAGAATGAGACCCAGAACTCTCTCCTCCGAGGGCACAGAAAGAGGTCACATAAGTTTAGTACAAAATGCCAGCTTCTTGCAAGCCAGGAAGAGAGACCTCATAAAGAAGTGAATTTGCTTTGACCTGCACTTCAAAGCCTCCAGAACTATGACATGGCAATGACTGGTCTGAGTTATTCAGTCAAAAATGGAATTTTGTTATAACAACCCAAGCCAGTGAAGGCAACTGATTAAACTCAGACTGTACTTTCTGTGGATACAATAGACACCTTTTGCATAATTTGGTGAACAATTCTCATCCTTAACATCTGAACATTATGAACCCAAGAAATGGAAGAGGCAGTGGTATTTCTGTAGTGGCTATCTCTTTTAATGGCAATTCTGTTAGCCACGGATTAGTTTTAAGTTTCTTTGCTGGTTAAATAGAGCAGAGTACATTCCAGTGTCTGCATCTAAGAACAATGGCAAATAATATGAAAAAATATAGCTGGGAGAGGGAAAACAGACATGTTTCTTTACTAAAGAACTTGTCAGATCAGAGCACTAAGTATAAAGTGTGAAGAAAATCTCCAAGAAGGACACATAGTGTGGAAGTATCTTCACTTTGCACTATGAGGACTCTCTGATAATTGCACCCCAGTAAGTTTCATCTTGTAAGGGGGTTGCAAAGAACCCAGGGCCTGTCTACATTTTTTGTTCTGTTGTGTTAAATAGAATTGGTCTACCCTGCAAAAGCAATTACTCATCATCTCTGCTGTTCCCAGGTTCTGTGCTCCGGTCTGGCTAAACTTTTGCCCCCAAATAGAAGACTCTTTATCAACAACAAAACCACAAAAGTAAAAGACAGAGAAGGCTCCATTTTCCTTTGCTTGAAAGGCAGGTTTTCCACTTGCTGCATCCCCTACTTTTCAGGGCTATTAATACAGTCTTGTAAATCTACAACTGTACCTCATGTCGTTTCACTAATAAAAAAGAAAAAAAAAATACAGTCTTAAAGGGGACCAGGCATCCAACTAACTGAAAGTCATGCTAAAGGTCCAAAGCCTGTGAGTCAGTCTGTATGTCCATAACATTCTCAATGCAAAAATTAATATTAAAAGTTGCTTCTACGAAATTTGTCTACGTGGGAAGGGAGAGTAATGAACATGGAACTCTATCTGTGCTTCACCAAGCCATTAATCCTTCCTTTTTAAAGATCACGTATTTTGCAATTCCTTAGAAAATAATACATCTTAAATTGTCATCTCCATCTATCACACTAAATGTCTTTGGCTTTTTCACAAAAAAGGACAGAGAGCGCTAAAAATATTGAACACTTTTATGTCAAGATAGCAGATTCCTTATTCTGCCATTTACTGGTTTTGCTTACTCAATCAAGTGCTTCATCTCTCTGAGCTTCAAACATCCCAAATCAGATAGGTGAATAAGACTTGTGGAAGGGATCGTGTCTTCGGGTACAGAGGCTATTCATATAGCCATAACAGGGCTATTGATATAGCCATTAGGGGACAGGGCATCCTACTAACTGAAAGTCATGCTAAAGAAAACTCTGATAAAACATCTGCCATAACTGGGCTGGACCCACAGCAGAGAGCACAGAATCCATTACATACGGGACTCCAATCTCAAAGATGTTGTTCTGGATCAACTGCTTCCCCAACATGATGATGCTGAGCTGGATACACAGCTCCATGAGGCAGCCTCCTGGAGCACACTGTGGTGAAGAGAGAAAGGAAGACAAAGAAAGGAGCTATTAGACCATGTGGAGCTCAGGGAAACGAGGGTGGGAATGAAGCCATGCTATTAGGAGGATAAGGTTCACGTTGACATTGAAGGATTGAGGAGGGTGGTTGCCCCTACGTATCAGTTGCATCATCTGAAACAAAAATGCAACACTTGCCTCTTCCATACGATATCCATCGAACACATACACGTAGCTTCCAGGTCTACCCACAAACCTGAAAATCAAGAAACATGGGAAGTTAGACTGAGAAAAAGTCAAGGCTGTTGGAAAGCTTGCTTTCGGAGTAGAAAAGTCACTGTCAAAGCCCTCCTTGAGGGTTCTGCACAGGATGGGTGCTGTCACAGAGAGAGGAGTTTATGCCATGTCATTGGCTACCAAGCACCTCTTATATCTAGGGATCATCTCTTAACCACATATACTCTAGGGAGAGAGGGATGATGCTGAATCTGATGTAGGGATAGGAAGGTGGTAATAGTGTGTGTGTGTGTGTGTGTGTGTGTGTGTGTGTGTGTGTGTGTGTGTGTAACTTCTAAACACAATAAATTTTGGCTAAGAGTGATAGCACAGTGGTAGGGTGTTTGCCTTGCACGCAGCCAACATGGCCGACCCGAGTTCGATTCCCCCGTCCCTCTCGGAGAGCCCGGCAAGCTACCAAGAGTATCTCGCCCGCATGGCAGAGCCTGGCAAGCTACCCCTGATGTATTTGATATGCCAAACACAGTAACAACAAAGTCTCCAATGGAGACGTTACTTGGCCCGCTCGAGCAAATAGATGAACAACGGGAGGACAGGGACAGGGACAGGGACCATCTGTGCACCATCCTTAAATAGAACTGAGTTCTGATTGGTGAGATCTCTTTTTTCAGGCATTGTGGGGTAAGATTAACTAACATTGCAAGTGTAGATTCCTGTGATCAGAAAACAAAACTCTAGACTCCTTACTGGAAATATTCAAGGTAATGGAAGAAGTCTACCTCCTTCCTCTATGACCACCCTCTGGTCTGTTTTATGGGAAAATAAGATCAGTTAGATAAAGGAAGCATAGAGGTCAAATTCAATCATGGAATCAGGCAGAATAATTCCACTTAGTTTGAATGTCATGCCCTATTCTACCTTGAAATTTACTTGTTTAGTGAAGATTCAACTCAGCATAAATTACTTAAAAAAAACTGAATCAACTTCAGCACAAGGTCTGAGAAAGCAGTGTTTCTTGGGTCCTGAAATGCTGGGGTCACTCTATCAATGATCAGGGATCTCCAGGGTTATCCTCAATGATGCTCAGGAGGTAGAATGATGTGGTATGGGGGTAGAATATCATGCCATATTATGGCAAGACCTAAGAATCACTGGAATTACCTTCTGCCTCATCCTTACCATTTGGAGAAAAAAATTCTTTCATGACTTACCCTTCAGATCCCAGAACTGTCTCTACTGTCGCTACAGTTTCTCTATTTGTCATTGCCTGAAGATATGAGCCCAAAACTAAGTTCTAAACCCACTTCTTCAATGTCAGGGGCAGGAGAAGGGTGGAAATGGTGATGATATAAACTCACCATGAGTACAGGATGGCTTTATTGGAAGACCCAGTTTTAGTAACAAATTGCCCTGCCACACGGGATACCACCAGACTTACCTTCCCTTGAAAAAAGCCACATAGAAGATGGGAGAATAGGCATTGACAAACTTCAGCAAAAAAGCTTTGAGTATCAGGCGCTCTTCAAAAGTCTGTTCTGTTTTGGGAACCTCTGAGAGAGAAAAGAAAAGCTATTAAGACTAAGAGAACAAGAGAGATTTCTCACTTCTCCAGACCTTGTTTCTGGGGGAGTTTCCCAATCAATGTCCAACAGACTCGGGGATCTCTCCCAGTGATTCCCTGTCAACTTGGTTGTTTGGATAAAGTCTAGGGCCTGAAGACACAGAGCTTATCAGGTCCCAGTATCCTCTGGGATCATCTGCGGTGCTCAGGAGCCTTTCCGGCTATACCAGATGGTGACTGGGGAGATATGGCATATGGTGGTGGAGCATACTTTCATGAACTGTCTAAATACTGAACTACCTGTTTGACCCCCTCTTCAGAATTTTTACCCTGTGACAGGAGCCACTGTCTCTCAGATGATACTCAGAGTAGCAGTCAAGAGTCCCAAATTTCTGGAACATTAGAACGGAATTCTTCTGGGAAATCCCAAATGGCTTACCATGTCATTAGAGAAGGGACACATGATTATGCATTTTCTTCTACCTCTTGTGTCTTATTCACTCAAGTCACAGTTTCATAACACACACCTCAAGGCAAAGCCTCAGCAGGCAGAACTTCTGCCTACCACCCTTATTCTGGGCAAGGGGAATTCAGCTTTTTGTTGATTCCTGCCACTTACACAATATTTTACATGAAGGTTCCTGACCTCCATAACCCACAAATCAGAGCCAACCACTGAACCTAAATCGTGAAACAACAAACACATGTTTGGGGCCCCATAACATTCTTCTTCTTCTTCTCTCTCCTCTATCTCTCTATTTTTAAGAGGAAAATACACATGTGTATGTTCATTCCACAGGCTTAGTCAGGCTGGGTTCACTTGCTCCAATTATGAAAACTCATTTGAGAAGTGAAACAAACACAGTTTAAGTCCAATATCTCAAACTCAGGGATGAGACTCCAGTGTGTTCTATTTGGTCCACAGAAAGGAGTCAGTGGATATTCCCAAAAGCATCTGGGAGATACAGAGCATAAAGCTCACCTGTGCCTTCAGAAAAATCAAGACCCATGGGATGTTCTGTGGGTCACCCATTAGAATGTTTGGGGGGACTCCATAGACCAAGACAAAGATAGCAGGGGACGAGGGCAGAAGGCAAGCACAAAGAAACTTGTGCCCTTCTAAGTATAACCTGGAAATGAGCTGAGCTCAGTGACAAATGCCAGGTTCAAGCTAGCCAGCGAGTTGTAAGTGCAAGGGAGACTGGCAAGTTTCTGACCTGACATGAGAATCTTTGTAGGAATCCCTGGAAAATTAGACACAAAATCTGTTCCCTTGTCTGTAACGTTCTCCACTAGTCTATCTCCTTGTATGCATATCTTTAGCATCCTTCAACAGCCAGACCAAATGTTACACCCAATCTCCATCCCAAAGCCTTTCCAGATGCCTTCAGCCAGTAGCAATCTTTTTCTGTTTTCCATGACATTTTAAAAAATGCATTAACTACCTGCATCCATGCCTTTGGGAAGGTTTATTAACAGGAGCTTTCATTGTTAGCATCTCAGTTTGGGTTGAACTCTAAGTCAATGATTTGCAAATAGTTTATTTGGCTGGAGCAATAGCATAGTGGGTAGGGTGTTGTGTCTTGGCTCACAGGGCATCCCCAGGCATGTGGCCGACCCTGGTTCGAGTCCTCTGTCCCTCTCGGAGAGCCTGGTAAAGCTACCAAGAGAATCCCGCCTGCACGGCAGAGCCTGGAAAGCTCCCTGTGGCATATTCGATACGCCAAAAACAGTAACAACAAATCTCACAACGAAGACATTACTGGCGTCCGCTTGAGCAAATCTATGAACAATGGGATGACAATGCTACAGTGCTTATTTGGGAGGTGCTGGTAAGAAAGTTGGTGTGGGGTGGTACGGAGAAGGAGAGTTATAAGGAAGGAGGCTTGAAATAGTCTCTCTCTGGGGAGAGATAGAGACAGGGAGGAAAAAACGAAGAGGAGGAATTAAGGAGAAGGGGAGGGAAAATTGAAGGGAAGGAGGGAGGGAGGCAGAGGGAGGAGGAAGGGAAATTTTTCAATAGGAATTTAAGTCACTGCCCAGTGGGCCTAAGGCAGCCAACTCCACAGTAACTTAGCCACATTTTGTCTCTCACATAAACATTTTGGGGGGATAAGAAAACTGAAACTGTCATCAACTGAAAAAAAATCATAGTAATCAGGTCTGAGCACCTGAAAATTTGGAAAACTTAGCCTTGTAATTGTGGCTGGAGGGGGATTTGGGGTGACAGATGGAGAGGCACGTGCCAATGGTTTTTGGTTCTAATCTCTGTTGGAATCTTCTGGACTCAGATCCCTCCATCCTGACAGGAATTTCCTCCAAGTTCCCTGGAAGAAGGATGTGCTACTCTTACAGCCCTGCTCCAACTAGAAGCCAGTGGCCCCCTTCCTCTAGACTGATAAATCACGGGCCTCGTTATTATTTATTAGTTTCCGTTTTCTCAACAGCCTGTGCGGGTGCTTTCAGGGCCACAAGCCACTGTAAATAATGGGCATTTCCAATAAACAATCCAAATCTGCTTGATGGGCCACTAAATCAGTGGGTGTCCCAACCTCAGAGCAGCTCTGTGGCCTTCTTGTGTGCTATGCAGTGGCTTCAGTGAAAGGAGGGCCTCAGGGAACACCTCACATGATGAGAGGATATGGGGGTACTGGGTCCTGAGAGTAAGGGGTATGGGGCCCTGAGCTCCAGATGGGTTTCTGGGCCTCTTTCTACAGTCCCACAATGAGACTTGGTTGTCTGTGAAAAATGGAACAGGTTTCCCAGCATCTACCTGGGCAGGAATCATGTCCCCTTCAGAATAAGTGGGGTCACCATGCACCCAGGCCCCCGGGTAGGATCCTCTGCTGGACACAGAGCTTAGAGATCATCTTAACCTGAGACCCAGAAGAATCTGTGCCCTACCCTCTACTTCCTAAAACTCCCAGTAGAGTTGAGACGTGAGATGCTTCCTGGTTGTGAAGGAGGAGAGTCTGCACAGAGTGTGAGGTAATCAGGAGGCAACAACCGGACAACCCATTCCTGGGCTTCTAGGCTCCTCCTCTCTCACCTCCCCAGGGCTGACCAGAGGTGACCTGGGCGTTCTCAGAAGCTCTGAGGATTGGAGCAAATTTCCAACAGAGTTGTCTCTTTTTCTCCCTCTGTCTCTGTCTCTGTCTTTCTCTGTCTTTTCTGTCTTCTGTCATATATCTGTCTTTCTGTCTTCTCTCTCTCTCTCTCTCTCTCTCTCTCTCTCTCTCTCTCTCTCTCTCTCTCTCTCTCTTTTCTGTCCTGCCTGTCTCTCTGTTTCTGTCTTTCTGTTTTCTCTCTTTGCCTGTCTGTCTCTCTCTGTCTCTCTCTGTCACTCTGTCTCTGTCTTTCTTACCTCTCTCTCTCTCTCTGTCCTTTATCTGTCTGTCTCTCTGTCTGTCTATCTGTCTGTCTGTCTGTCTCTCTCTGTCCTTTATCTCTCTCTCTCTCTCTGTCCTTTATCTCTCTCTCTCTCTCTCTCTCTCTCTCTCTCTCTCTCTCTCTCTCTCTGTCTTTCTCTCTGTGACCAAGGCTGGGTAAGGAAATACAATTTCTGTTCAAAGCCCTGACCTACCCACCCTCCTTTCTTCTAAGGGTTAAATCGCCAATGCCTCTGTCATGAAAAAATATGAGTACAAATGACCCAGCTGTAAAGTGCCTTGGAAAATAATTAGCCTGAAAGCCCAAGTTAGTCCCCAGGGGCCAGCGGAGACCAGGAGTCCCCAGAGGGCCTTTCTAATCATATGGAAACCGTGTGGTCGGTGGCAGGATCTGGCTGTGGGGAAAGCAGCTCCTCCTTCCAGCCAGTGTCTTCCCAGCCACCCAGCTGGGAGAAACAGACCGTCGGGGATCCGCGAGCAAAATGAGGAAGACGCTGGGCTCTCTGGGTCTAAGGTACTTTCTCTCCCAGACTGGCCCTAGAAGCATCTAGAAGCTTCTAGAAGCATCTAGAAGGTCAGGAGGATCAACCTTGGGACCACTCTGGCTGCGGGACAGAGGCTGGAAGCTCATGCCTGGCCCAAACCGAGCACAGGCGCCTGCTCCGGCAGGCACTTGCCCCAGGCAGACCAAGCTTCCCCCCTGCAACGCACCCCCCCTACACACACCAGTAGCATGTTTCTGACAGCGCAGCCATCTGGACTTCCCTACATGCATGTGTGTGTGCGTGCATGTGTGAACGTGTGCTCATATTTGTGCATGTCCACATGCTTAAGGGACAGAGTGGAGACTGGTAAAGTTGTGGCCTGTACAGGGCATTTTCCTCAAAGCAGCCACTTAGCATGGGCAGGGGGTGGATTTGGTGGTGAGTGGGGGGTGGGGGTGAGTTAGTGCCTTGCCTAAGGGGGCCAGAAGCCAATAGCCTTGTAAGCGCCCAGGACACCTCCCTACCAAGTAGGAAATTGATGGTGTGATCCTAGAAAAAGGGATGAGAGAGACAAACCTTAAAACGTTATCTGGGGCATCAAGAGGACATCCTGACATCCCATCTTTCATGTTTTGTTTTGTTTCTGTTTGGGGGCCACACCCTGCAATGCTCAGGGGCTACTCCTGGTTTTGCACGCAGGAATCGCTCCTGGCGGTGCTCTAGGAAACCAACCATACAGGATGCCAGAGATCATGCCCTGGTCTGTTGCGTGCAAAGCAACCAAGCGTCTTACCTACTGTACTATCTCTCTGGACCCAAGGTGGATGGTGGTAATCTGATTTTGAGAGCTAGAACAGAGGGTAGGGTTCTTGCCTTGCATTGCAACTCATCTTGGTTCAATCTTTTGCACCACTTGTGATCCCCTGTGCACCTCTAGGAATGATGCATGAGCACAAAGTTAAGAGTAGCCCTTGAGTGCTATCTGGTGTGACCCCTAAAGTCCCAAATAAAAATATAAGACCAACTATGAAGAAAACAGCCTGAGAGACAGGGTCAGGAGGAGAGAGAGAGAGAGAGAGAGAGAGAGAGAGAGAGAGAGAGAGAGAGAAATATGG